GTCGCGCGATGGGCAGCCCAAGGAGGTTGCCATGCAAGGTGAAGTTCTCCACGACGGCAGTGTTTTGAAACCTGGCCCTACGGCCGTTGACGCCCCTGCCTGGCCCGCGGTTAGAATCGACGAGGACGGCGACCTAGTTGCCTGTCTCTCGGGGCCCGTGGGAGCCAGTCTTCCCCTCACGTCGCCCGCTGCCGAGCATTTAGGATGTCTGGCTGCCGTCTCCTGCCCAAGAGTCGCTAAAGCGTGGACCGACTTTAAAGGCATCCTCTCGGTTCACCAGAACCCCGAGGTTAGTAGGGAAGAAATGCACGCAGGAGCGTCCGTCTTGGCCAGGGCCCAGGACAGTTTCAGGTCCCTCGAGATAGCCAGAAGGCCCACCAGGATCTCTCGACCCTGGAGGCCGGCTCGAGGGACCGGTTTGTAGCCAAAGGAAATGACTGGGCGAACGGGCTGCCAAACTAGCTGCTGCCCGGATCCCCGCCCCGTCCCAGATGGAGATTGAGTATTATACAGAAGCCCGCAGTAAAGTACATAGATTTTTGAAGCACGCAGCGGAGGCGCCCTCCTTGCGGCAGGCCCTCGCCCCAAAGACGGGGAAGAAGGCCTACGAGAAGCCCCCCCAGAGCCTCAACCCCCCTGTTGGAGCCGCGGGCGCGGTCCAAGACTGGGCCCCACCCCTGCAGCCCCCTGAGGGTCTTCCTCGGCGGGCCCGCGCGGCCCGCCGTACCCTCCAGGTTTTGGCTCGCCACCAGTGGGGCTGGATCAACAACCACTGGCTGTGCTTAGCGTGTCGCACTCGCGCCCGCACCGACAGCGCCCGCCAAGCCCGTTCGCGAGAAGTGCGCCCTGGCAGTTCTGCAGCGCTGCCCCAGTTAAATAGAAAGCCCAGGAAGCACCGACTGTTGATTTGCGATTACCTCGACGTCGAGTCTTTTCTCATAATCTGCAAGAAGTGCGGCCGTTATTCGGAGAGCAACCTCAAAGGACTCAGAAGTGAATGCATTGAGCGCTTCAGAAGCAAGTTCTCTGAAGGTGCATGGTCTCGGGTGTCAGGCGGCCGCCATCCGAAGGACAGTATGAAGGCCCGCCCCCGACTTCCCCAGCCCTTCCCTGCAGCCCAGCTCCTCAAGGAAGGGGCGGCGATGTAGGTTCGAAGAAGGGCGTGAGGGGAGAGCGGATGTAATCCCAAGGTTTCGGTTAAGGTCGGGTCGGCCTAACCCTAGCCTTCCTCATCCGCATGTGATGGTCCTCCTCCTCTTCCTCCTCCTTCTCCTCCCCCTCCTTGCCCCCCCCCCCCTGCGTTTCACCCACCCAGTGCAGAGCTTCGCGGCCCCATAGGGAGCTCCACCGAAGGCCCCAGTGGCAGGGTTCGCATGGCGGCCTCGGGCCATTGCGGCGCACCCCTCACGAGGATCGTGGCGCCGTAGGGAGCTCCACCGAAGGCTCCAGTGACAAGGTTCGCATGGCGGCCCCGAGCCATTCCGGCGCACCCGTCGCGAGGATCGTGGCCCCATAAGGAGCTCCACCGAAGGCGCCAGCGGCAGGGATCGCACGGCGGCATCGGGCAATTTCGGCGCACCCCTCACGAAGATCGCGGCCCCATAGGGAGCTCCACCGAAGGCCCCCAATGGCAGGGTTCGCATGGCGGCCTCGGGCCATGTTGGCACACCCCTCGCGAGGATCGTGGCCCCATAGGGAGAGGGTTCCATTTCGGCACACCCCTCAAGAGGATCGTGGCCCTATTGGGAGCTCCACCGAAGGTGCCACTGGAAGTTTTCGCACGGCGGCCTGGGGCCATTGCGGCACACCCCTCACTAGGATCGTGGCCCCATAGGGAGCCCCACCGAAGGCCCCAGAGCCAGGGTTCGCACGGCGGCCTCGGGCCATTTCGGCGCACCTCCCACGAGGATCGTGGCCCCGTATAGAGAGGGTTCGCGTGGCGGCCTCGGGCCATTTCGACACGCCCCTCGCGAGGATCGTGGACCCATGGGGAGATCCACCGAAGGCGCCAGTGGCAAGGTTCGCATGGCGGCCTCGGGCCATTTATTTAGGCACATCCCCGCGAAGATCGTGGCCCCATAGGGAGTTCCACCGAAGGCCCCCAGCCGGGCCATGTCGGCACACCCCTCACGAAGATCTTGGCCCCATAGGGAGCTCCACCGAAGGCCCCAGTGCCAGGGTTCTCACAGCGGCCTCGGGCCATTTCGCCCCCCCCCCCCCCCCCCCCCCCCCACCCCACCAGGATCCCGGCCCCACGGGGTCTCCACCGAAGGCGCCAGTGGCAGGCTCGCATGGCGGCATCGGGCAATTTCGGCACACCTCTCGCGAGGATCGTGGCCCCATAGTTGTGCTGCTTCAACAACCGCGCCTGGGCGCCGTACTCCGCCTTGTCGACGTGCAACGCCACCTCCTCCCTCATGGCTCTCAAAGCCCTGTCCAGCTTCTGCTCCTCGGTCAGTGGGACGCCGTCCATGTCGTCGTTGGCGCCCGCGAAAACGGCCACGAACGTGTTCCTCATCACGTCGGGTTCCAGCGGGAAGCCGTGGCCACATAGGGAGCGCGGGCGAAGATGGCATTCGCAATTGCGGCATTCAAGACTGCATATTGTTCGGTCCTTCGCCAGGCTAATTTGAATGCTCCTGGACCCCAGCCCCCCATTTGAAGTGGAGGGCAAACTGAGGCCTTCGGGTTAGGTTGGGGTGGTTTGGTGGGTGGTGAGACACGAAAAGCCGTCCGATACAAAACTCTGTTTTTGACCCTGGCGCGTTCAGGGGTCAGGGAAGATGATGAGATGAGGAGGACCAAAGTGGACCCAGGATGCATCAAATATGCTGCAGTAGACCCTCCCGCCTCAAGTCTTCCTCTCATCACGAGTCCCTACAATACTTCCCCTCCACGACTGGAAAGCCCCACTCGAACGACGAGCGCCCAGGGAGCCTGCCACTCAATCGACACCCCCTTTCCGCGAAGGATCTACATTTCATCATTTAAGCTAAACTACAAGGGAAAAGTACACCCCAATAGTAACCACCCCGAAACGCGAGGCCTTTAGCAAACGCGCCCAAAGAAGGAATCGAACAGGGCAGGGCTGTTTAGTAAACGCCCAGAGCCGACTAGTACACGCCAAGTGTCCAGTCCGGGTGGTTTTCCTTTCCTTCATTAAAGGCCTTCGCAAAGGCAGGCTGTTAAAGGACAGGGACGGGTCAAAAGGCAATCCTGCTTTGAAACGATCCTGGTATCCACCCATGTAAGCGTGACAGCAGTTCAGCTTCGGGCCATCAGATATGCGGAGGTGTCGCGTCAGAGCCCCGCCTTGAAAAGGAGCCGCCTTCCATGGAGCCACATTTCGAACACCACCGGCCTTCCATCTCATAACTGCTCCTCCTCCTCTTCCTCCTCTTCCTCCTCCGCTTCCTCCTCCTCCTCCTCCTCCTGCTCCTCCTCGTCCTCCTCCTCCTCCTCCTCCTCCCCCTCCTCCTCCTCCTCCTCCTCCTCCTCCCCCTCCTCCTCCTCCTCCTCCTCCTCCTAAGGCGACGCTAAGGCGAGAGTCCAATTTAGAAAACCACCAGCCTTCCATCCTTGTAACTGCCGCAGACGTTCAAACAAATATGCGCGGCGCCATGGCGAGTGCCCCATGTTGACAACAATTGGCCCTCCATCCCAGCAACTGCTGCAATGTGCAGTTTCAGGGTAATAAACTGTGAGAGCGTTTTTCAAGCGTAGAGCTCGGCCCCGCCTAGGGGTTGTTTGTAAGGACGGGGATGGAGGGGAAGGAGGATGAGGAGAAGGAGCAGCGGCAGCAGCAGAAAGACCGAAACGCCCCACGGCTTTGAGTTTTCCAATCCGTTGCCCGAAAACTCTCGCCCCTCCCATGGGGACAACTTTTTCACGACGACATGAGAGTGATGTGCATAGTAGCATCACCCGTTGCGTGACTGAGGTCACGTGCTGACTGGCAACGAGACACCCCGCACACGACGCCGCAGACCCGCGCACGACGTGGCCACCGCGCTGCTGACAACGGTGCTCGCCGCTGCAGTGGGCGACCGCAAGTTGCCTGTGCAGGCCGTGCGCTGTCACGGAGCTGCGCTCGGAGGCGGCCACTACGCGCACGCGCCCAGAGGATCCTGATCCAGCTGGCGGTCACGTATATCGCATGCGCGCAAACACGGATGAGCGATCCATGGATGTGGCGCGCGGTCGCCAGATCCACCGATCGGGGGAGGCGCCCTCCCCAAGATGCGGCCGGTGCCGCCTCGCTCGGCGAGGGAAGTCCGCGACTCCCCCTGGAAACGGGGCCCGTCGCTTCTCCGCGTCCCCGTGATCCATGCTTGCGATCGCCTGGGTATATGCCACGCCCAACTTGCTCCCGTGACCCTGCCCCGGCCTGCCCCCGAGAAGGGGGGGTCCTTACAGCCTCGCTGTCCAGGGTGCGGAGAAGACGTGCCCTGGGGCGAGAGAGAGAGAGAGAGATGCCCGAGGTGAAGCAGGAGAGAGGCAGAGGAGAAGGTGAGCCTAGCTGCTGTGGGCTGGTGTCGGTGCGGGGGAGTCAGAGGAGCCTGCGGCATGACCCCCGGGGGCCCAGGAGCGGCCCCCAGAGGCCAAGACGGCGGAAGAACGTCGGGAGAAAAAACAAACAAAACAAAAAAAGTGCGCCAAAGGCCAGGGGGAAGAGGGGGCGTGCCAGGTGTGAGCGTGATGCACGGGGCACGCGCGCGGCTCTCTCGGCACGGCTGGGCTGCGCTCTTCTCTGGGCGCGCAAGCGCTTTTCGCTGCACGCCGTTGTGGAGGCTACGAGGACAAGGAGGAGGAGGAGGAAGGAGGAGGAGGAGGAGGAAAGAAAAACGAGGAAGGAGAAAGAAGGAGGACGAAGAGGAGGAGGAGGAGGAGGAGGAGGAGAAGGAGGAGGAGAAGGAGGAATGAGGAGGAAGAGGAGGAGGAGGAGGGAGGAAGGAGGAAGGAGGAAGAGGAAGGAAGAGTAGGGAGAGGAGGGAGCTGGCCTTCTTGAGTTTCTTCTTCCTCGCCTCCTCCGCGTCCTCGGCCGACGGCGCCTCGGCCGCCTTGCCGTCCTCTGCATCGGAAGATGGGCCGGCAGGAGGGGGAAGGAGGCGAGGCGAGCGAAACTGGGCGGCAGGGGCGAGGAAAGCGGGGGGCGGAGGGGCAGGTGGAGAAGGGAAGGGAGGAGAAAAAGCATGGGCGGAAGGGGAGGAGGAGAAGGAGGAGGAGGAGGGGGGGGAGGAGGAGGAGGAGGAGGAGGAGGAGGAGAGGAGGTGGTGGAGGGGGAGGGGAGGAGGAGGAGGAGGAGGAGGAGGAGGAGGGGAGGAGGAGGAGGAGGAGAGGAGGAGGAGGAGAAGGAGGAGGAGGAGGAGGAGGAGGGATGGAGGAGGAGGAGGAGGAGGAGGAGGGCACGGAGGCAGCGCTGGCTCTGGCGGGACCCCCCTGCGACCCTGCGCCAGGAGGCCCGGCCAGCCTCTGCCGTTCTCCCCTCCGTTCATCTCCTCCTGGATCGGGGGCGGCCAAGAGGGGGGCGTCCAAGAGGGGGGGGCGCAAATCATGGCCAGCGGCACGTGCGCGGCCCAGGGGGGGTGGGCCAGGGACGTAATGAAGGAAGAACATGCGCCATGAAATCTGGGGAAACATGATGGCCCCCGCCATAATACCCACCCACCCTAGTCATCGCCCCCCTATTGGCCGCCACCGACTGGAACGCGATGCACCAATGGCACCCATGGCTCGTGCACGGTTTCCCCCGGGGCCGTAGGCGACCCAAGGAGGAGGAGGAGGAGGAGGAGGAGGAGGAGCAGCAGCAGCAGCAGGAGGAGAAGGAGGACGAGGAGGAGGAGGAGGAGGAGGAGGAGGAGGTGGAGGAAGGGGAGGGGGAGGGGGAGGGGGAGGAGGAGGAGGAGGAGGAGGAGGAGGAGGAGGAGGAGGAGGAGGAGGAGGAGGAGGAGGACGAGGACGAGGAGGAGGAGGCGGACGAGTCGCCTAAGCCCTTCGGAGAAACCCTCCAATGGCTCGGGGCCAGTCGCCCACGCTGGCCTTCCAGCACCGCGGGTGCCGTCCCTCCCACCTGGGCTACGGCCCTGGACGCTGCTCTACGCGCAAGTTTTCTCCAGCTGGATTTTCTGGAGTCCTCCTCCTCCTCCTCCGAAGATCAGGGAACTCGCGAAGCCTCGCATCTCTCCAGCCCGACTCCCAATCGCGCGCAACCTCACACGGCCTGCCAGGCCCGATGCAAAAACCCTAGGCTCGCACAGCGAGGCAAATGCATGTATCACGGACTCGGTGCAAGAACAGTTGCATGAGTAGGACATGCCAGAAAATGGGTACAAACGATGAGTTCACCCTGGGGCGCACCGAATCACCCTCAAAGAGCGGCACTGCACAACGAAGCTGTCACGAATTACGCCCCTCAGTTCGGCAACGAAACAGCATTGTGGTTGTCGCGAGCTCGGTAAACAGCGGTGCACGCCATGATAGGCGGTACACCGCCAGAAGGAGGGGAGACGAGAAAGAGTAATGGAAAGACAGCAACAACAGCGACACCAGAAACGAAATGTGCAGCAGACCTGATCCGCGTCAGCTGCACAAACACATCAATGTGGTGGCATGCCTTGGCGAAGAACGCACACCAGCGTGCTGAGGGAAGCTGAGAAGCGACCAGACGAGAGGCCGGCGGGAGCCAGCCAGTCGGCGGCTACAGCGCAGAGCGTGGAGCGACCAGTGCAGGCGGATGGGCAGGCCCAGGGCGAGACCTGGGGTCGGCCAATGGCGGCCCTCAAGTACCCCACGTGGCGCAGGCATGCGGCGGGCACCCCAGCACCACCAATGTCGGGCGTTGGCAGAACTGGGTCTAGTGGGACCTAGTCTAGTGCATGTGTACTGGGGGACGCCCCCCCCGCTCCGTTCCACTATCCGGAACTGCCGCCACCCGAAACAAAAAAAAACCAACTACGGCAGACCTGGTTTAGTGGTTCTGGCCAATTTAAGGGTTCCCGGGCCCTACTACTCACCGGGTCCCCCTGCCTGGGGTTCTGGCTACACCCGGCACTAACTATGAAGGGCGAGGGGGGCGGAGGGAACGGGAGAGGAAAAACGAGAGGCCAGACGCATCCGCCGCAGGGCGCGAGCAGCACGCGAGGCGTGCCGAGGCACCGAGCACCGACACGAGCTTGAAACAGAGGGGGGGCGAGAGGGAGCGAAGGCACAGCAGGACGACCGACCGAGGGGGGGATGCAAGAGGAGGACTCGGAGGGAAGGAGAGGGGGCAGGAGGGGGGGGAGCGGACGAGGGCACGGCGGGGCCGACGGCAGCAGCGGGGAAGAAAGGAGAAGGACTGACCTCCCCGCCTAGGGGCGTAGGCACACCACGTGCGAAACGTACGACGATGGGAGGGTCCTGCGCGGGCCGTCCAGCGGGCGGTCACGAGCACCGGTGACACCGCGCTGCCGAGGGGAGGGAGGAGGCGGGGGGAGGGAGGGAGGGAGGGAGGGAGGGAGGGTGTCGGAGCTCGGGCTCCGATCTCGATCTCGCTGGGGCTGTGGTGGTGCCGCGCGGTCCCAGCATTGCAGCGCATCGCTAGGTCCTATTTGGGGGGCTGGGTTGCCCCGCCGTGCTCAAAGCGGGCGCTCGCTGGCGCGACAGCGACCCCGCTCGCCCGCGAGGAAAACAGGGCCAGCTACTAGCTGGCCTGCTCTTCCCCACCCACACGAGAGCAGGGTTCCCGAGGAACTCCTGCCAGAAAATAGACTTGAAGGCTCCCCAGGAAATCCCCCCACACACACACACACACACACACACACACACACACACACACACACACACACACACACACACACACACACACACACACACACACACACACACCACACACACACACACACACACACACACACACACACACACACACACACCACATACAAACGATCAGGGATCCCGAGGAATCAATCCACTTTCCCCAAGAGAGAAGGGTTCCTGAGGAAATCCACTCTCCCCCCTACAAAGGACGAAGGGTGTGCAGCGGGGGCGGTGCCGCCAGCATGCCTGATACCCCGCAGTGTTTCGCGGCGACCGCGGCGCGCCTGGGGATGGTCGATCAACTTACCTGGCTAGTGTTGGCAGGAGATCCAGCAGCTCGCTCTCATAGGGTCGAGCAGCTCACTGCACTCTGAGCCCCGTAACGCCTTAGGAACCTCCGATGGAGTCATCCATAGCAGAATTTCTTGTGAGGTGGCCTGCTTGCGAGCGACTGCCAACATTCAGACCAACCAAAGCCCCCACGACGCTGGCCATGCAATGGCCACAGCAGCGCAAAACATTGTCATTGACGAGTTCCCAGAAACGGCCATGCTAACTTCTTTTCTTCTCGTGTTCGCAAGCCGCCGCAACATGCAACAGCGACGCTGCGAGAACTGCAGCGACGAAAGATGCATGCATCGCAGCGTTCATTTCAGCCGGTACCAATCTTTCGCCTTTACTAAAGGTTGCCGTGAGAGGGACGCATCAATGTGATTTCCCATTATTTTTGAAGGGTTAATCCCCAACATTCGCCCTGCGTCGTGTCAGACCCAACCCTGCCTCGTCAGCCAGCGCAGGCGACGTGCGCCCCAGCGACGGCCAGCGAGCCAGGGAGCCACAGAACGAGAAAAAGAGCGGGGCACAGAAGCGAGAAAGGGAGAGAGAGAGAGAGAGAGAGAGAGAGACAGGGAACACACCACACACACATAATCAGCCGAGGCTGGGGCGCTTGGGTGCGAGTGGAACTGCACGGCGAGGATGGCCACCCCCTCCCAGCGCCTGCGTTTCGGATTCCCTTCGGGGATCATCCGTTAAAATTGGAACGATACAGAGAACATTAGCATGGCCCCTGCGCAAGGATGGGCCACCTCGGGCCACTTCGCGCGATGCGCGAAGTGGCCCGAGGAAGGCAGGAGCTGGAGGGCCTGACAACAGGCAGGGGGAGAAGGACAAGGCAGAGGAGGAGGAGGAGTAGGAGGAGGAGGAGGAGGAGGAGGAGGAGGGGAAGGAGGAGGAGAAGGAGGAGGACGAGCAGGAGGAGGAGGAGGAGGCGACAAGCAGACCCTACAACTAGGCTTCGACCGTCACCCGCGGGCGGGGCGCGTCGCCTCGTCCAGGACCCCGATCGCCCAGGGGGGCCCTCGTGCGGCCAGGTCCACGACCGCCTGATTGAGCGCATCCTGCGCCATTTGCGGCGTGCGCCGCACTGCATGCCGCCACCAGTTGCGCAACCTGTAGACGGCGGCCGTGCGCAACGCGCCCAGGGCAAGCTCTGCGGGCGGTCTGCGCGCAGTGTCGGCGGCAACCAGAAGGCTGTGGCCCACCTGCTCCAACCCAGGATCGTGATCATCCTCGTCGGGGGCTTCGAGACATGCCAGCAGTCCGCCTTCACGGCGAGATCGGTATCCGAGAAGAGCCGTCGGCGGCTCCCAGTCCGAGGAAAGCTGGACATACGCCCCGCGCTCGTCCTCAAACTCGAGATGGCGAGGCCAGAGATGGTCCCGCCGGAGCCTTTGGGACCTGTGGAGGTGCTGGAGCATCTGGAGCTGATCGTGTCGCAGCCGCTGGAGGTGTTGCTGCCATCTCGCCTGGGTGTGCGAGCCCACCTTTGTTCGGGGCAGATTGGCTGGATGCGGCAGCTGGTCTGTTCAAGCAGCACTGCATCCGGGAAGTCGAGAAGCAGTTTTGCCAGACCACAGTTACCCTTCGAAGTGTTGACAAGAGTCATTGCAGAATTCCAGACTCAATTTTTGGTAGAGTCAACGTCCCAGTCCTGGGGCACTAGCTCAATCGAATCATAAACCAGAACGACCCGCGGGGTAGGATATTCCGCTGTAGAGCCGATTTCCCGTGGGCGAATTTCTGAAACTCCTGCTGTCCAAGCTCGTCTCTCGCCTCCAAAATGTTGGGGCGTGCACGTGCCATCATATACCCGGCACCTGAAAGATCGCTGTTTCCTGGAGCTCGCCCTGACCTTGACGTGAGCTGAGGCCAGGGCACGTACCTTGGATCTCGCCACAATGTCAGAGCGAGCGTTCGCTAGTGCGCAGCCTCCTCCTCCTCCTCCTCCTCATCCTCCTCGTCCTCCTCCTCCTCCTCCTCCTCGTCCTCCTCCTCCCCCTCCTCCCCCTCCTCCTCCCCCTCCTCCTCGTCCTCCTCCTCCTCCTCCTTCTCCTCCTCCTTCTCCTCCTCCTCCTCCTCCTCCTCCTCCTCCTCCTCCTCCTCCTCCTCCTCCTACTCCTCTCGGGGGGGGGGCTTGGGTCTTGCCCTCGTGCGGCATTGGGGGCCTGCCCTCGTCACCGCCGCCTCCATGCTGACACGTCTCGCCCTCTTCCCGCATGTAGGCATTTGGCCCTATTGCCGAACGACCGACCGACCGACCGAGATGGAGGAGGGAGGAAGAAGAGGGTGGGGAGCAGGAGGGAAAAGGAGAAACAGGAGGAGGTGGGCATGATGAGGGGGAGCAGGAGCATCGAGGTTGAGGACCGAGGTTGTTGGGCGTTATCTCCGATGTGCGACCTCTGGGAGTCTTCTCGTCGACACAAACGGCTCCCCCGTGGATTCGGAATCAAAACGCACCTAGGCGGTCTGGGGGGTGGGGATTATTAAAGATGGCAGCGAATGAATAGAAGAAGGAGGACGAGACGAGGGCAGGAGGAGGGGGAGGAAGGGAAGAAGGAGAAAAAGGCAGGAAAAGGGGGAGGAGGAAATGGAGAAGGACCTAAGTAGCGAGGAGTCCAATGATGATGAAGCTCATGGCTCATGCAGCTCAGGGGGCGCATGCGATATCCGCCAGCACCATTGGAGGCACAAGGCTGTGAGGGTTGCTGCTGGATTGGGGCCGCCAGCCCCCCCGAAAAAAAATACCCTGGCGACGTACCCAACCCCTGCGGAATGCGGGGCAGGAGTACCTTGGGAGATTTGACGAGAAGGCGGCGACGTGACATGGGCGCATATACTTCTGCGAGCGGCATTCGGAAGGTTCGCAGGTCCCAAATCAAGGGAGAAACGATGAGTAATTAAGTGAACCCCTGTGTCACTGAGGAGGCCGCGAGGTCCAAAAGGAGACGGTGGGCAAGGGGCTTGAAACGTCGGCGGGGCAGCAACAACATGGCATGGCCCCCCAGGGACGGCGAAGCCCAGCTCAGGTCTGCGCAGTGCCTCACTCCGCTGGACTCACCAGCAGCGAGTCCATCAGCAGCCCTCGAAAGTGGCGACAATTTCACAGATCGCAGCCCCCCAGGGACAGGGAGGTCCCGCTCAGATCCGCACGGAGCCTCACTCCGCTGGACCCACCAGCAGCCCTCGAAAGTCGCGACAGTTTCGCAGATCGCAGACCCCCCGGGGATGGGGAGGTCCCGCTGAGAGTCTGCGCAGTGCCCCATCCCGCTGGACCCACCAGCAGCCTTCAAAAGTGGCGAGCCCACCAGCAACATTCGAAAGTGGCGACAGTTTCGCAGATCGCAGCCCCCAGGGACGGGAAGGTCTCGCTCAGGTCCGCGCAGTGCCTCACTCCGCTGGACCCACCAGCAGCTCTCGAAAGTGAAGACAATTTCGCAGATCAGAGCCCCCCAGGGACGGGAAGGTCCCGCTCAGGTCCGCGCGGTGCCTCACCCCGCTGGACCCACCAGCGGCCATCGAAAATGGCGATATTTTCGCAAATCGCAGCCCCCCAGGGACGGAAAGGTCCCGCTCAGGTCCGCGCTGTGTATCACTCCGCTGGAGCCACCAGCAGCCATCGAAACAGGCGACAGTTTCGCAGATGGCAGCCCCCCAGAGACGGGGAGGTCCCGCTCAAGTCTGTGCGGTGCCTCACCCCGCTGGACCCACCAGCGGCCATCGAAAATGGCGATATTTTCGCAGATCGCAGCCCCCCAGGGACGGAAAGGTCCCGCTCAGGTCCGCGCTGTGTATCACTCCGCTGGAGCCACCAGCAGCCATCGAAAGTGGCGACAGTTTCGCAGATGGCAGCCCCCCGGGGACGGGGAGGTCCCGCTCAGGTCTGTGCGGTGCCTCACTCCGCTGGACCCACCAGCAGCCCTCGAAAATGGCAACGGTTTCGCAGATCGCAGCCCCCCAAGCAAGGCAAGAGGAGACAAGAAGGAGGGGGGGCGGGAGGAGGACGCGCGAGCAGTGCTCTATTCAAAACGAATACCCAACCAAGGAGGGTTGGGAAGAAAATACCCAGGTGTAGATCCCTCTCGACTTCCCGGCGGGGAACCCCCGAGAACTCCTTTTGGACGCCCCTCCCTCCCCCCAAAAAAATTAGCCTGACGAAGGACCCAACCATAAGCAGTTGTGGATACCGCATTCTGGACCCATCGTTCTATGAGGCCCTCGGTGGAGCTCCCTATGAGGCCACGATCCTGCCTGAGTGAGTGGTGTGCCGCAATGGAGCGGGGCCGCCATGCGAACCCTGCCACTGGCGCCTCCTGTGGAGCTCCCCATGAGGCCACGAACCGTGTGAGCGGTGTGTCCAAATGGGGCGGGGACGCCTTGCGAACCCTACCTCGGTGGAGCTCCCTTTTGGGCCACGATCCCCGCGAGGGGTGCGCCGGATTGGGGCGGGGCCGCCATGCGACTGGCGCCTTCGGTGGAGCTCCTATGGGGCCACGATCCTCGTGAGGGG